CTGTTTTAAATTCTGATATTCACATTTTCTGCAAACCAGAGAGAATTGAGCAACCTGTGTACAAGTGTTAAGTATAGCTACCATGCCATGCTCTTTTTCTCTGAGAATAAAACATAATTATATCAGCTACAGAATGAGGAATTGCTTAGTATAAAAAACCTTTGTTTACTTCAGTTAAATTGTTCAGGTTTTATATCACAGTGGAAAAAATATGTATGTAGGCTTAATAGTATTCTAATAAAAGATAATATAAAACTGTAATCTAAAATAGTATACTGCTACTAGCTATTATACTTTTTGAATAGGAATCTTAAATTCTGTGCTGAAAACAGAACCTTTGTTTTTAGGATGTGATGTGTGTGCTGAATATTGAAAGCATCTGTGTGGCGTTTCACGACATGGACTCAAGCTTATGAGGAGACTCAAATCCAACTTTATTACAACCAAGCCCTTTTTATCCGCTTCTTCGGTACTTTCCCAACCTGCACAAGCAGCCACGTTCAATCTTATTGGCCCCTGTAAAACTCTCCAGGTAAATAGTCCAATCACAATGCTGCAGACCCTCTCACAACCCCCACATACTCTGGCCTTCAACTGAGGTTCCAGCCACAACTATATCCTGGCCCATCCCCAAAAGGCTTGCTCTTCAACCTCCCCTGACCTTCAAATCCCCAACTCATTGCCCCAAGGCTTGTCAAGAGTCAAGGCCTCAGAGCTCATTCCCAAACTCTCTTTCATGGAAATCTTTTCACCTTCACTCCCCACACATCTGGAAATCATTTAATTTGCAATCAGATTATCTCCCCTTTGAAGAAAATATTTGTTTTGGTTATTGGTAAAGAGAAACCTGAAGCTGAGTGACAGTGTGTCAATGGAAATTTCCCACTTCATTGTCCATTTGCCATTTATTTTAATTAAAGAAAAAGGCAGCAATCAGCACCTATTGCTATCACAGTAGGAGCCATGCACCTTTGCCTAACCCTAAACTTGTTGTTAGTCTACTGTTATTTTCCTTTGTGATATTGAGATTATGCCACTAAATATTTTCTCTCTACTTTCTTATGTCTTCACTAACAGGGAAGGGCTCATTGGAAATGCGATGCTCCAGGGCAGCCTTGGATGCAGCAATCATGAGATGATTGAATTCGAGATCCTGAGGACAGTGAGAAGAGCGTGCAGCAAGCTCACTGCCCTGGACTTCAAGAGAGCAGACTTTGGCCTCATCAGGAACCTGCTTAGTAAGGTTCCGTGGGATATAGCCCTAGAGGGCAGGGGGGCCCAACACTGTTGGTAGATATTCAGGGATCGCCTGCTACAAGCTCAGGAGTGTTGCATCCCAACTGGAAGGAAATGCAGCAGGAGGGGCAGGAGACCTCCTTGGATGGATAAGGAGCTGCTGAGGAGAATTCAAAGGAAAAAAGAGGCTTATAAAAGGTGGAAGCAAGGACAGGTGGCCTGGGAAGAATACAGGGATGTCGTCTGGGAAGCTAGGGACCAGGTTAGGAAATCTAAGGCCCAGTTAGGATTAAACTTGGCTAGGGTTATTAAGGATAACAGGAAGGGATTCTATAGGTACGCAGCAAATAAAAGACAGACTAGGGACAACGTAGGCCCCCTCCGGAAGCCATCAGGAGAGCTGGCTACCCTGGATTTGGAGAAGGCTGAGGTTCTGAATGACTTCTTTGCCTCAGTCTTCACTGGCAAATGCTTGACTACACCACCCAAGTCTTGGAAGGCAGACTCAGGGACTATGAGAATGATGACGCTAGGCCCACTATAGGAGAGTATCTGGTTCAAGACCATCTCAAGAACCTGAAAGTACACAAGTCCATGGGTCCTGATGAAATCCATCCACGGGTCCTGAAGGAGCTGGGAAATGAAGTTGCGAAGCCACTGGCCATCATATTTGAAAAATCATGGCAGTCATGTGAAGTTCCCAAAGACTGGAAAAAGGGAAATATAACCCCCATTTTCAAGAAGGGGAAAATGGATGACCTGGGGAATTACAGACCAGTCAGTCTCACCTCTGTGCCTGGCAAAATCTTGGAGCAGATTCTCCTGGAAGGCATGCTAAGGCACATGAAAAACAACAAGGTGCTTGGTGACAGCCAGCATGGCTTCACTAAGGGGAAATCCTGCCTGGCCAATTTGGTGGCCTTCTGTGATGGGGCTACAGAACTGATGGACAGGGGTAGAGCAGTTGATGTCATCTACCTGGACTTGTGCAAAGCATTCGACACTGTCCCACATGACATGCTTGTCTCTAAATTGGAGAGACATCAATTTGATGGATGGACCACTCAGTGGATAAAGAAGTGGCTGGATGACCGCATGCAAAGAGTTGTGGTCAATAGCTCAATGTTCAGCTGGAGACCAGTAACGAGTGGTGTCCCTCAGGGATCGGTGTTGGGATCGGTCTTGTTCAACATCTTTGTGGCTGACATGGACAGTGGGATTGAGTGCGCCCTCAGCAAGTTTGTCGATGACACCAAGCTGTGTGGTTCGGTTGATACGCTGGAGGGAAGGAATGCCATCCAGAGGGACCTTGACACGCTTGTGAGGTGGGCTGATGCCAACCTTATGAAGTTTAACCATGCCAAGTGCAAGGTCCTACACCTGGGTCGGAGCAATCCCAGGCACAGCTACAGGTTGGGCAGAGAAGAGATTCAGAGCAGCCCTGCAGAGAAGGACTTGGGGGTGTTGGTCAATGAGAAAATGAACATGAGCTGGCTTCAGAGTGTGCTCGCAGCCCAGAAAGCCAACCGTATCCTGGGCTGCATCAAAAGGAGCATGACCAGCAGGTCAAAGGAGGTGATCTCTACTCTGCTCTTGTGAGACCTCACCTGGAGTATTGTGTGCAGTTCTGGTGTCCTCAACATAAAAAGGACATGGAACTGTTGGAACAAGTCCAGAGGAGGGCCACGAGGATGATCAGGGGACTGGAGCACCTCCTGTATGAAGATAGGCTGAGGAAGTTGGGGCTGTTCAGCCTGGAGAAGAGAAGGCTGTGTGGAGAGCTCATCTCAGCTTTCCAGTATCTGAAGGGGGGCGTATAAGTATGCTGGGGATGGACTGTTAATTAGGGACTGTAGTGCTAGGACAAGGGGTAGTGGGTTAAAACTTAAACAGGGGAAGTTCAGATTGGATATAAGGAAGAAATTCTTTCCTGTTAGGGTGGTGAGGCACTAGAATAGGTTGCCCAAGGAAACTGTGAATACTCCATCCCTGGCAGTGTTCAAGGCCAGGTTGGACAAAGCCTTGGGTGACATGGTTTAGTGTGAGGTGTCCCTGCCTATGGCAGGGGGGTTGGAACTAGATGATCTTAAGGTCCTTTCCAACCCTAACTGTTCTATGATTCAGTGAAATGAAGGGTATTACACATGTGTGTCCTAGGGCAGAGTCTTTCTGTGGTGCATGTGCTGACTGATCTGATATGGAAAAAGGGCAGTACAGTGCACTGCCTTCCTGCAAATGCCCAGTGCGACATGGCAGTAAGAAGTGCCATGTTGACACGGAAGTGTGCTGAGAGCACTTAAACAGGAGGAAAAGCTGCTGGGGAAACTCTTTGCCCCAGTCCGCTGCAAATTTTTCTGCACTAATCTTGTGAGACACAAATTATGCCAGAGACTCATGAAAATGTTTCTGAAGAAATATTGCTTGAGATGTGCAACACAGAACCCAGCACGAAACCCAGAGAACTTGTGGCTGCCCCTGGCAATGTCCAATGCAGGTTGGACAGGGTTTTGAACAACCTGGTCTAGTGGAAGATGTCCCTGCCCATGGCAGGGGGTTTGAAACTAGACAATCTTTAAGATGCCTTCCAACCCAAACCATTCTAGGCTTCTATGATTTGCCTATTGCAATTGGTGTTATTATGGAAGAGTGCTGGTGGCCACCTTGTTTGATTTGTGGGTAATCCTGGATCTCCCTAAAACTGACTGGCTTACCAGCTACTGATCTCTTGCAAGTGAGATTATCCTGTGTTCATATCCTCTGGGAAAGCTGTGTGATTGCAAGGCTTGGTAGGATCTGATCTGAGCAATAATACTAGGAGGGTGAAGAGTGATTTGTTGTTGAGAAGATAAGCAGTTTGAAGATGGCTGTGGATGAATTATAAAGTGAAAAGGAGTAGAAGATGAGGGATCAGTAAAAGGCACAGAGCAGCTAAAGACTGAGGAAGGGAGCAAGCCGGAATAGAGTTTCTTGTCAGGGGTAGAATGGTTGAGAGTAATTTTGGGGACTGTGAGCAAAGACATATCCTGTTTGTTTGTGTGGGCAGGATCCTTGGTACTGCAGACGTCCCCACCCACTGAAGTGCTTGTTCCTGGAGAAAGTTGCCAATGTTGGTGGACTGGTATTGCAGCCTCTTCTGCTTCAGCAGCTTTGGTTCTGGATGCATCTTGCTGAGGGACTACAGCTTGTTTTGGGAGGTCAGCCAGGGTGCTTTTGCTTTGAGCACCGTGTCAGCATCGGTGCCCAGTAACAGCTGCTTGCTGGGGAGCAGGAAGACACCCAGGGAGGGGAGCCAGAGTGGTGTGGAGGATCTAAATCCCAAAGGCAGGTGTGAGCTTTGTATGCGAGGGTGCAGCAAAGGAGCAGGCTCAAGACGGGGAACACAGGAAGAGTTGAGGTCTGGTTTCATGGATTAGGAGTGCATGGAGAGGCACTGAACCATTAATTCACTGAAACACGCTGGTTTTCAAAACCAAATTTATAGGAGCTATTATGAATTGCAATTTTTTGGTAAAGAATGCTGTCTCCTGCTTTTGGTACAAGGGCTAAGACACACTTTTGTGATTTTTCCCATTTTGCTTCCCTGTCTGTCAATCTATGACCTTTTACTGTACCTGTTTATTTCCAAGACAAATCTGTGGGATCCCTCTGTTTTGACAGAAGCAGTAAACGAACACCTCCTGCTGTCTCAAAAGTACTTCACTAAGGGCTTGGTGAACTATGAGGTGAAATATAACTTATTTATATTCTCATAGAGCACCAGAATGTGCAGTCATGAATAGTTCATTTTATTGACATTTTATTTTTGCAGAATAGACATTCACACTAAGAGCTAGAGAGCCTAGATTGTAAGTGGAAAGCATAAAAATTCATTAAAGTATATGTATAGTGTGATTACATGAGATCCAATCATCCTAATATACAGCTTCAATGTATTGACATTAAACAAATTATTAAAAACAAGACATAATACAAGAAAAGGTTTACTGAGTATTGCAAGGATCCAATCAGAAAAGCAGGGCATTCACTTTGCAGATGATAAAAAGTTTAGCCTTTTGATTTGGTAGTTATCTGCCTTATGTCACAGTTTCCTACATTTGAAGTGCCTGTTCTCTGGGCTGCTAGAGAGCAGGTGGGTGTGATGTTCAAGTGAATGCACAGGATGAGGAGATACACCAGCACCACTCCACTTCAGCCCTCTCCCTTCATGGAGCAGCACTGAGTGCCATCTTGGATGTCATTGTACTATCTCTGTCAGAGGAATCATAACTATCTAAACAGCAGCCAAAGACAGAGGAGAGCAATGGGTCTATTGGCCTGGTAAGGTTTTACTGGTCACAGCTTCCCCTGTTCAAGCTGCAGTACAATGGCAAAGAAAGTAGGTATTGAACAAAACTTTCTGTTTCTGAAGCTCTTCGTTCCAAATCATAGATTGCAAGTACTGCAATATTGGAAACTATAATAGTGCTGTGGGAAAAAAAGATTCTCCTTCCGAGGAGACGACTTCCTATCTGATTAGTGTCTTCTATTATCCCTTTGAAGTGCTGTAGCTGAGAGTTGGTAGCTGTGTTTCTGTCCAGACCATATGGGTGAGGTGAGAAAGTGTTGGATATTTTCCAATGTGGCGATGAGTCACCTCAAAAGAAGAATAATAATTAGCCTTTAAAAGAAGTAGACTTATAGAACTTTGGTTTGGGAATAAGACTCTCCATTCTCTTTATTAATGGTAGGATTAATAAAGAATTAAAGGAATTAATGGTAGGATTATACCCTACTACTGAGTACAGTGTCTTCTGTCACTGGAGTCCTCTATCCCCTGTTTTACAAGTCCTACATAATTGCTCTCAGGCATGAAAAAGCCATAGGCAGACAACTTGGAGGAGACTTTTTTTTCAGTTATGTATCATAAGGAAAGCAATAACAGAGCAAAGCTAATCTTTCCTTTTAACTCATACGGATTTTCAGACCTGAAAAGCTTATGCAGAAGATCTCCCTGTGGATTTTCTTCATGGTTTTCCTATGGATCCTAGTTTTGTGTATCCAGAAGTTCTCTTTTCTTCATATGTGCATTGTAGGTTTAATAGTTTGTCCCAACTCACTTTGGTCTTGCAATTTTTTATTTTTTTTTTTTTTCCTTTGGAGATTATGTTTGGTTAGTGATGTTGCTGACCACTGCCCATTCTGGAAAAGTATTCAGCTGGAAGAGTCTAATTCCCCAAGTGTTGATTGCCACCATGACCACAGCTAGGCCAATCAGATTTACACCCAGGCCAGCTTTCACCTACAAAAGCAAAATACATCAGAGCATGGTCAATGGCAACTTGTTAACATGGAACAGTTAACATGGAAAAAAGAAAGCAGTAGAGTGTCTGTATGTATACTGACTTATATATAGTGTGATATACTAATTTCCTAGAGCCAGAAATGCACAAGTATTATGTATCAGACTGTCCATTGTGGGGAGTATTCAGGAGTGGTAGTCAGGGGCTGATGCAGTACATTGGAAAAATGCTCAGTTTGTCACTTGTACTTCTCAATTTGATAATCAGAATGGGGAGTTATATCACTCATAGCAGGGTGATAACTACATGACTTACTGTGGAGCTATGTGATAAATTTAATTTCTTATGCTCTCCTGTGCTTTTCTTAACAGGTCAATGCAAAGGATTGTGTATTCCTGTTCTTTAATATCTCTTTAAACTATTGCATTCATGAAAATTAAAGTTGAGAAGTACATATATCATACAGCAGATGTATAGATGTTCTTAACCTGACAGCTCAATTGCAAAGCAGCAGTGCAGTCTCTAATATGAAGGCTTCATACTAGCACCAATATCATAGTTATTATCATTGCTGTTTGATATGAGGACAAGGTGTTGGGGTTTCATGAAGCATGGGGGGATATACCTGATCTCAAGACTCACCATATCCTTAATCTGACAGTGCCCATAACTGAAGACAATGGCATTTGGAGGATTACCCACTGGTAGCATCATCGCAAATGAGATACACATGGTGACAGGAATCAGGGTGTACAAAGGGTTGATAAGTAGGGTTTCTGACTGGAAAGAGAGAGGGAGAGAGGCGTTTCACTTAACCAAGGAAAGCCACTGCTCACAATTAGGATGAAAGGACCCTCTCTGCTTTATGTGAAGACAAGACTCTGTGGATCTCATTTCCCTAGTTTCTAAACTTAAGTGTAGAAGTATTTTTTTTTATTTGCTTTGGATCTTTTTTTGTTTGGTTGGTTGTTGGGTTTTTTTTTAAGAAGTGCAAAAATTTGGAGTTGATCATGCTCCAGGGATTTCTCTTGAGACGTTTCACAGTGAGGGAGTGTGGATATTGCTACTATTAGACCACCTCTGCTCATTTTCTCACTTGTTTTCCATGACATTCTGCATTGTGTCTTCTGGATCTTAACATTGACTGCTACTTCAGTCTTATCCCAACAGAAGTCACAGCGAGTTGACATGAAGAGTGTCCTTCTTTTAATTGTTAATATACTGAGACCATTATGTAAAGTTGTCCTAAATGGTGATTGAGAGAACTAGTTTTTTGTAGTCCAAACACACATGTCACTTGATAGTGGTCTCTAGAGAATTGTTCTTCCACTCCAGCCGTCAGTATTGGTGAAATGTTGCATTTTTGTTTACATTGCCATGGCCTAGTTTTATGTCAGAGGGAAAGGTAAGGTTACTCACAAGGCTAACTTCATTTTGGGAAGGGAAGTGTTTCCAGGTTACTTTTACAGTCAAAAAAGAGACACTGCCTTAAGACGGCAATTCAGACTACTAAAGATATATTACTGATCTAAATTTTTTTCAGGAGAGTCTCTCCCTGCATGGAGCAGAAGTAAATCTGAACTCATAAGCCATACAAACATAATTACTTATTTTCATCTGACCATATTTTCATATTAACTCAGAGCTGTTCACATAGTATGCTTTGGGACAATCACATAAAATTGTTATAATAGGGAAATACGATTAATGACCCACATTCTTGGTAAGAAAAGCTTCATATTACAAAGAAAGAAAATCAGAGAATTTTCTGTAACTCCTATTCCAGTATAAAATGAAATCTGTGTCTCTTTCCTCTGCCTTCGTCATCAATCTCCTGTTTTATTGGCAAATAGAGTGCCAATACCCTGACAACCTGAAACATTCCCAGAAGCTTATCAGGAAAAAACAGACTTAAAATGTCATTGCTTTTACTCACCATGGTGCATAAAATAGGTAGAAAGATGGTTATAGTTGCTGGATTGCTGACAAACTCTGTTACTAGTGACACCAAAATGCAGGCCAGCAGAGTTACAGCCCAGTACGGAAGGCTGCTGAGGGAAAGCATTTGGCTTCCAATCCATGTAGAGAGGCCAGAGGTCTGGAGGAAGGTCAGAAGCACAAGAATTACTGAATAATTAGTATACTTTTAAAACAGATTCTTCTCTTTGGAGCAGTTTGCATCAGAGAATGCCACCAGCAAATAAACAAAGTTGGAGTCAGTGCGTTATGCAATTTTTTTTGTTTTGTAAACTGAATTTCACTGGAGTGCCCCATAAATAGTTGCTCCTAGTAACAAAGAGTTACAGTTGGCAGTTAATAATACTAAAAAGGTATTTTTAGTATAATTTAGTATAATACCAAAAAGGTATTTTTAGTATTATACTGATCTTCACTCTTTCTTACGCATCTGGAGTATTGCAAATTGGTGGTGAAGGATTGCACAATCTGGGTAGAATTCATTTTGAGATTAAAATATACAAATTTAGTTGTCTACATGTAAAAGTCTATAGGAGAGGTAGATGTGTATTAATGAATTATACTGAGTGTAGTTATAGTCAGTAAAGCCTAGAGTATTTTGTCCAGTCAGCACTAGGAACTTGACTCAGTTGCCTAAAGAAGAGCATCCAGTGGCAGCTGAGATGTTCCCCCTCTATCTGGTTAGTTGCTAGTTGAGAAAGTGCGACATCTTCCTCAGATCCTCTGTCCTGTCTGCCAGCCTTGTAGGAATATCTAGATATTCAGATGCTTTACAAAAACCATCTGAAATGGCAGGTGTTCACACAACTAACAAGTCGTAACCATCTTTTTGCTAGCTAGATAGCTGTCCATTGAGTGCAGGGAGTAGGGAGTAGATTGTATACCAACTTGAAAGTATCCACATTGTAAATCAAAACTGGGGAGCATACAGAGGGATGAAAGTCCAGGTTTATAATTCTATTAGGAAGGAGGATAAAAATCTAAATCGGTACCTTGCATCCAGCTGCTAAGGCATAACCTCCTCCAACCAACACTACAATCTCCCAGGGCATGGTCTTCTGGAAGTCCTTCCAGGTGATAATAGGATCCAGTGTGTTAATGTCTGTTGACTTTTCACCATCTCCTGTATCAAAATAAAGCAAATGTGTGATCAGTGTTACACTGGCCCTTTTGTAAAGATCTTTGCATTTTTCATTCTAATAGGAATAATGTAGTATTCATGGGAGTTACCTTGAGAAGTATCTGTGAAAGAGGTGAATAAGCACATAGCCTATTTCTCTGGCTAGCTTGGCCTCAGAAAATGCAGCTTATTAGTTCCAAATGCCCTGCCTTCCCCTGGCTGATCTGTTGATGCTAGCAGTTATAAACCCATGTGTTTCATTCTGTAGCTTTTTGAGGGACTATGTGCTCTGTTGTGTTGATACAAATGCAAAATATACGTAGAATGCAAAAATGGAGAAATTAAATTACAATGGGATTATTTTCTCCAAGAAGGTCATTTACTCTTCCCAGTAGGCCATGAAGCTTGATAAAGTGTATTTATGCCCCTAGGTTTTACGTGAGGACATTATTTTTTAGATGCCTGAGTATTTTCTTAGTGTTATTTTTTTCCTAAATGCTGCATAATATATGTCAGCATAAAAAAATAAACATTTGTAGCTCTACATAAGACTCTATGCAGGCAATATGACTTTTACACAAGACTGCTGAAAGCCTGGAACAGCAAACTTATCAACACCGAGTGCTACCCAAACGTGAATGTGAAATTATTGTCAAGAAGACTGTAAGGGAAGCATTGCACAAAATTGACACTTTGTCTGACAGTTAGTGACCTCTTTTATGCTTATTTTATGACATTATTGATTATTTCTGCTCTATAAGTAATGACCAAATTATTTATTAGAGCTTATCTTCAACCAATTTTGCAAGCATCTACATTATATTTCTCTCTATGGAACTCCATCTGAACCTTTCCTAAAACTCAGTCCTAAATTTTGTTAACTCTGTTAAGAAGAGATAGTGGCCTCAGGCAAGAGATATATTTGCCATTTTTTGGATGAGACAGTATGAGCTAAAGCAACAAAAAATGGGGGTTTGATGTAGAAAGGGCTGATACTGGATCACTGAACCCTGATCCACCACAATAAAAATCTCTCCTTGGAACATTTTACAGAGAATAAAAATATGTCATTAAGGGCACTGGAAAATGTACCAGATCTCTTTCTTGCTGCATCTTCCTCACCTTTTTCCTGTTTTCCAAAACAAGGCTTTTTTGCTGGAATCAGGAAAAGGAGAAAACCAAGAAATACAGAGACAGTGGCATCAGTTCTGTAACCTTTCCTAGGAAAGAAACAGTAGGGTTATCATAAAAGTACACTAAAGAAACCTTTCCAAACAAGGAACACGGTACCAAGTAATTGTTGCAGGTGAAGTTGTATTTCCACATCTGAAGTCTTACTAACAGCACACTGGAAATACATGTCTACATATTCACGATTTAAATTGGATTTTTTTTCCTGTTTATTAAACTGACTTCTATAGCCAACTTCAATCACTGTTCAACAAATTTTAATATTCCAGTGGATAAAAAAAAAGGAATCCCTTTTGGTTTACAAATCTAATAACTTGGAAGTAGAGAAAAACAGTGTGTTTACCAACAGCAAGAAACTGTAAACACATTCTGGAGAAAAGCCACACCCAAGTGGTCCTTTAGAAATGAACTGTAGATTGATGTTAAATTAAATGCTTAAAATTCATCCTGAGAAAATATTTTGAGGAGTGCCATACTCCAGATTGCCTCAGGAAATCCCAATATTAGAAATTGGTTTTCTATCAAAAGTAGGATTAAAAAAAAAAAATATGCAGTAGAAAACTAAATAAAATTTAACTTTAGATCACTTATTCTTTTATATGCTTACTGTGTTATGGTTACTTTTAATAAAATTTGATTCAACATTATTTAAAATAAAATAACAATTATTTGCTTCAATCACCATCTATGCAATATTCAATTGAAATGAACAATTTTAATTAATTTGCAATCTATTCCATTGACAGCTTCTATATGAATGCACTAAGATGTTTTAACTTCAGAATCTGACCCTCCTATTTTTTTTACGCCTGAAATATGTTTATTTTACTTTCTCTATTTAATTCACTCTGTTTATTGAGACGGAATACGATTTTCCATCGTGTGAACAGATGTAGATTAACAAGACTTCATTTTTCACCACCTTATTAAAAGCGGCTGATAATGGTATAAGGACAAAAATTATTGCAGAAATTTCAAAGGAGCAAGGCTATATTCCTCTGTGATTGTTTAGGTAATTTCACTTACTTCTCAAAAAAAGATGACCATCCTGGTACAAAGCCAGGCTCACGGGTAAACCAAAGCAAGGTCATCAGAATGAAGAAAAATCCAGTCACCATCTCAGGATAGCTAGAAGTAAAAAACAAAACAAAACAAAACAAAACAACCTCTAGGAATTAAATCCATGGTCTGTCTGAAAACCTAAGAGCAAGTTCCAGAAGTGAAAAAGTAGAAATTAGTTCCAAAATAAAAAGGATAAAACCCAGAAAATACAGAAAATAGAAAAGAAGACTAATTTGAATTAAAGAATTTTACAGTTGGCTCACAGATGAAAACTCTCTAAACCTAGTAAAAAATTAAGCTAAAAAGACCTGTATTTGCAATTCAATCTTTCATGGGCAAGACCTAAGGAAAAATATCTATAAATGCTTTGTATTTGGATTATTATCTAATTAAATGTGTTAACAAGTTAAAGCTTATGTTAATATTCCACTCTAAACACTTTTTATTGCATTTTTTAAAAGTGTAGAAAAAGTATGAACAAATTGCAATGTAAATTAGCACAGGTATTTTAAACACGTGGAACAAATACAAGGTGACTTGAGGATACTGAGTATATAATTTAAATTTACCCTACATTAATACTAATTAATGTAGGGTAAATTTAAATTAAGTATGGTTTCATATTTAGGCACAGTCTGAACAGCAGTCTAGATTCAGAGTTGATCATATTCAGCAAGTTGATCTGTCAACATTTCAGTTGAACAACACAAATATATTTTGAGAATAATGGTTTTATGAGGTATCACCCCTTTTGAAAAATTAAAATATTACAAAATAATCTTTAGAGACATTTCTTACCACCATGAAAAAATGATGGCAACTGGGAAGGCTGGACATCTCATGGCATGAGAGACTGCTGCAAAGCCTTAGCTAAACAGTGAACTTCTATCCACTAAAATAAGTATGTGCCTGAATTGCAAAGTGGTGTTCTATAACAGTTTGTGTGTTAGTTCAAAAGCAGAGACAAACTTTGACTCAGGTGACCTTTGGATCCTTGTATAAACCTGAATCTTTCATTTTATTTCTTTTTTTCTTCAGAAATAAATAAACAACTATATAAATGCACACTTTTAACAGTCTTTAATATTGGTTCATTTTTACATTTAGTTCTGCTTCTATCCTGGAAAGGAGAACAAAGAACTGAGAGTTTACGAATAACCTACATGAGCCAAAGGTAACATGGAGGGCAATATGAAAGGATGCTCCTCCCTAGGCAAATTCCTGAGGAAGGCAGGTCTGGTTTACCTAACATTTCCCAGTTTCTTATATTCTTCTTGAATTCTTCTCTCTGACATTTCTTCCCGTTTGGTTTTCTTCTTCTTGCTCACAGAACAGGTCTCTTTAAAACTGAGGTAGGTAGCACAGTAAAATTAGACAAGGGCATCAAGTGAAAAAAAAAAACCAAAGCAACAAAAAGCAAACCCTCATAAAAAATGACAGTAATGAGGCAAACTGAAAATTCTAGTTGCCAGAGGCTGTTGGGAGAAGATGTGGCTGGGGCAAGGCTTGATGGCAATAGGAAAGGAAATTACTGCATGAGATCTTTGCGTAGTCTAGTTTCAAGATCTTCTGAGATTCAATCCTAGACATAGTAGGAAGGTGGTCTAACTAATACTAACTGATAACTGACTGAGCCATCTGTAGCTGTGGCTGGTCTCCCTTTGTTTAGGCTTCCTCAAACAGCTGGAGTTGGCTGGATTTTTTTCTGGTGCCAGAAACCTCCAATGGATAATTTGTGTCATCACATTGACAGACAGTGACAAGAGGCCAGCTGTCAATAGATATTTAATAGAGGACTGCTTTCCAGTTGGATCAAGAGTACCCAACACGTTATGGGGCCTGGTCTGGCTTTTGTGCCCAGGTTTGACTTGAATATTCAGGATTCACAGTAGGCAATGTGGGAAAGCTGAGCTGAGGATCCAAATAGCTTTCATGACCTGTCTGTTTCTAATAATATTAGCTGTTTCTAAGCCAGGCACAATCACTGTAGCACCAAATTGCCTCTGCCACAGACCAAGGCAATCAGCCTAGTGTTTTGTCCTGGTGAAAAATCCCTGTACTTCTGCCAGGGACATACAAGTGCAAACATATTTCATAGCTAAATATATTTAAACCTGCTCCACATTTGTATGAAAATTAGGTAAAATCCTTAGTTTATTCAGATTGCCTTCATACCATAACAAAGCCTGGACATTCCTGATTTGTATTAATATACTTGTAGGCTCATTACAACCTTTTACTTTTCTTCTTTCCAGTAACATTACTCTGCTGTGGCTTGAGGCACAGATCTCTGATTTTCCACTCCAGCTGTGCCCTCTGACACAAGGTGTGTTGGGTAGGTTGAGAAACATCTGCAGCTAAGACAGTCTAAAATAGGCTGCAGCAACAGGGACGTCAGTGAATGAAATACCATGGGAACACAATAGACTGCTTTTCTGGTTCCTGCTGTTCAATATCTTATTTGGTATCTAACTAGAGATCCATGCCATAGCACCGGCCAAACCAGGGACTATGATCTCCTTCTACGTATCTGGTTAAGGACAGATTCTCTAAGGAATTTGCATAGATCAAGATGCAGACAGACCATGTCTGTTTAACAAAAAGTTTTGAACAGGCTTTTCATTTCACTTGTAAATGGGCACTTATGTGACAGCTGGTTTTAGTGCTCTTAGCACTGCAACTCTAAGTATTTAAATTTCCTCTCAAACCTTGATGTTACACTCCAGTAAATTCCAGCTGAAGAGAAGAACTAAATAATGGTCACTTCTATAGTAATGATTCTACTCTTAGCTCTGCTTTGCTGGTGAAAATCATTTGATGGGTCCATTATCCTTGCTCTTTGATCTAGTCTAGAGCCTAAAAAGCAAGGTCTTACTGGGTCAGGTAAGAACCCACTGATGACAATGGGCTTCCCAGGAAAAAAACGTTAACATTACAGAAATTCAGTAAACGTTTATTCACAGACATTAGGCATCATGTTATAAAAACATAAGTGTTTCTAGGCTTAGGCGGATGTGAAAGAAGAGTATTGTAGCCCATATCCTAACATAATATGTTGTTTAATGAACTGCAGTGAACAGGACTCAGAGATTAAGGAGGCCTGGAATCAACCAGTACTTCTCAAAAAGTCGATAATGCGTCAGTCGCCGGTATTATTTAAAACATCATTAAACAGCAAGAGGTCTTGGATGCAATGTGGAATTTCAATTATGTTTATTTAAAAAAAAATAAAATAATTGAGGGTCATGTTAAGGCCTGTTTCTTTTCAAAATTAAAAAAACAACAAACAAACAAGAAAAAAAACCAAAAACTTACTTTAGCATTTTAATTTGGAACTACAAAATCTAGTCAAGGTCAGCAGCAAGCAGAAGTCATTATCAATGTATTCATTATCTTAGGTGAAATAAATTAGTGATGTCAGTTTTAAGAGTAAACTAAATCAAATTAAGGTCACTTTAATTCTGAGTAAATGTGTCTGCACCAAAATTTAATGCATGTTAACTAATCCACTCTAAATGCACACATTTAGGCAATTTTCACTAACTGCTGTTGCTGAGTACTGCAAAGGACATACGTGGTACAAATGAACTGGGAGACTCAATCTTGTTCTTATTTTAGGGCTGAGGGACTTACTGGTATCAAAAGGTGTGCATCTCTTAGGCTATTAGAGAAATACATATGGAGTCTGTTTACTTTTAACTGGTCTTACATTAATCTTATTGAGCTGGGGGCAGACCTGAAAAGTAACTTGTTCACTTGTAGCTGTTTTTCTATTAATCTTTTAAGCTGTACTTTTCTGAAAGGACTTTTGACAAGGTTTTTGGTCCACAATGGGATCCTATTGGTCATAAGAATCAAAAAAAAACCAGTTGAATGCACAGTAAAGAATTCTATCAGCAATACCTAGGCACTTCACTCTCAAGCAGCAATACTGTACACTGCTGCCAATGCAGTGCAGTTAAGCAATAAGATTTCCTCCAGTAATTGTTCTGTCAAGAAGAAGGAAGTTGTGGCTTAGATTTTGCCATTTGCAACTGGAAAGTTCATTATGACAGATTTTCTAGAGGATACACAGATTCCCTGCTTCTCTAATCCATGCATCTTGAACAACCTGAACTTACTTGCAACCCAAGAACAGCCAATGCATCCAGAACCAAGTCAGGACCAACATGATGAGGGAGACGGGGAAACTGAACAAAAACCAGGTTCCAAAATTCACCACTTCAGCCTTTGGGTAGCGACTGTAAAGGAAAAAAAGGATGCACAAGAAGTTAGAACAGTAAAAGGACAGGCACCTCCAGTACACATAGATGCACATGCCCACTCACATATATATATGTCACAGCATGATAGAAAAATTGTGTCACTATGTGTTTGCAACAGCTGCATTATATGTGCATAGGGAGACCAACTGCCATAGAATGTCAATCATTGACAGTGCCTGACCAAGAGATGAGCCATATAGTACTCTCTCTTAAGACCAGATGGTCTGGATTGTCTAGCCACACACAAAACCCCTAAGAGTTATCTGGAGTGAAATTCTGGCCTTACTTGTTGATTTTGTTAAAGCTCTTTTTAATGATGACAGACTAAAGAATTATTTCACCTAGAATCGCTATTTATGTCTTACCGTTGATCACACAAATAATGACTGTAGTCTGCTGGGCTCTGACAAAAATGTCCCACATGCATTTGGTGCAATTGTCCTAACAGCAAGATCTTTGAAAATAAAGTAAAATGTGAATCCTTGGGTTAAGGATGGCTTCCAAAATTAGTTTTCTTTTCTACCACCATTTCAGGGAGAGAGATGAAAGATACTATGACAACAGCGGTTGCAGTAGATATTCAGAATCTGCTCTGTGCATGAAGAAAAGTTACATTTCCTCCATCAGAGGAGGAAACAAAATTGCCTTTAGAAAGAGTGACTTACAAGGGTTCGTTGAGGTGGTAGATAACCTGTGGGGAAAGGCACAGAGACAATAATGACCCAACCATCATTCTCACACAACCAGAATATCACTTACTTGTTGAAGTGCTCTAAGAATATGAGACTAGTTGAGGTCCCTATGATGGTTGTCAGTCCTCCAATGGTTGCTGCGTACGAGATACTCAGTGAGAGGCATTTACAGACCATGTGGTCATGTCTGGTCTGGTACCGGTACTTGGTGGTCAGGCCCAGTTCTGAGGGCTTCGGAGGCAGGACCAGTATCTGAGCCTGTGAGGGAACAGATTAACCACAGAAAGCAGGTGATCAGAACAGCAGCCCAACTGGCTCTAATGCCATGGCAATATTGGTCCCAGAGAAACAACAGGCTTGCTTAAGGGGGGGCAGTTTTTTCTTCACAGGGATTAACTGCGGTCGGAACTAGAAACCCGTCCAGGGGCCTGAAATTGCCTGGTCTGTGGCAGAAATGTAAGACAAACAATAATCAGACTTCTGGCTATGGTTTGGGCCAGCTCCAGTTCTGACTGGAATCTCAGAGGGATACCAAAACCCTCTGTGGGCTGCAGGGGCAGGATGCTAGAACTACAGCAGTAGGAATTCATAATCCTTGAGGCTTATGAGCAGCCACCAGACATATGCTTGGTAGTCTTTTTGCACTTGTACTGGCTCAGAGCCTCTAATTAGGAATAGAGTGCTAGGTGTCTCAGAAACAGCATGAAAAAGGCTGTGCAATGGGCATATGGAAGAAAAAGCTACAGGAAAATACTGCTCCAAAAGAAACTTTTTTTAGCAGTGACAGGAAAGTTTCTGCATTGAAAAATCAACTTGAAAAAAAGAAACAGCACTTCAAGGCACTTCACATGCTTCCCAAGGTTGTGATCTAGAATCAGGAAAAATGCAGAAAATGGTTCAGATAGATTTGTTAATTTTAATAATTTGAATTTGGGTTTATGTAGTAAAATCAGTCATGCTATGGTTCATCATCATGGTGAGGAGACCCTGGCAAAAATCCCTGTAGGTTAAAAGAGAAGTGAATATATTAGTTACAAAATAATCACTGATTATGTATTGGAAATGGGTATAAGAGACAATTAAGTACCAGGAGCAGCACATTTACCTTTTTCTGGAAGCATACACTCAGATTCTTTTGAACTGTGAATGCAAATTTGTGTATAGATTTTAGGCCAATCTTTCCTGAACATCAGCTTATACCATCAAGATACTACGTAACTGTAGTCCAAACAGCAATCATTTCTTGGATCTGCTCAGGAGAAGTAGAAATTCTGCAATGGGCTGATGTAATGAAGTATTTTGGTGGTGGATATTTGGCAAGACAAAAAGTGGATACTAAGACTAATCGACTGAGAAGTTAAATGGTCCATGCTTGCTGCTGGTTTAGTTCTGAGTAGGGTTTTTTCAAGTCAGGGCTACTATTTTTGTGTTGAGTTTTGTTTTGTTTGGGATTTTGGGGGGGGGGGGGGGGGGGTTGGGGGTTTTGTCTGTTCCTTTGTCTGTCTGTTTTTCCCAAGGAGGCTTTGCAGAAATAAAGTGGGTAGAACAGCAAAATAAGAAGGAAAACTTGTGATCACATTGCTGAATGTAAAGCTAATATGCATTGTACTGGCCACTGGGGGAAGGTCTTCTGAACATAGCTGTGTTGGGGGCATCTAAATGGGAGCAAGAACTAGCAAAGGGCCAAGCCATGGCTGCTGTAGGATGGTGGAGAATGATTTCATGTAACACAGCTTTCAAGGAACAAATATGAAAGAGTGGGAGCAGGTGATGGTCACATCTGTCTTTTCCCTCACCACCCGGATCTAACATCAACCTTACCTGAGGTAGGTGCTGCCCATTGTTCTTAGAATTCATCGTTCCAATAGGGTTGTTTACCATGTGCACACCATTCATATTCTGTAGGGAGGCAAATGCCTTTGGATTAGCCTTTCTTCTCTTCCTAGGAGCACTTAAATCAGGATTCCTGATGATTTGTGAAGGTCATGGGTAGTGAAGAAAAAAAAAAACAAAAAAACAAAACCAAACAGAAAACAACCAAACAAAAAACTCTACTAAAATTTTGTCTGAGAAAAAAACAAAAACCAAAAACCAAACTGATTTTATTTTAAAGTGATCTTTAAAATAAGATTATAATAAGTTTGGGTCTTCTCCCTCTGCTATGTAGGTGAATCTAACAGGTCTCTTGCTAGAGGTTAAGACTTGGTGATATGTGTGGGTTGTTCTAGTAACTGAGATGTCTCAGCTGCAGAAGCTGGCAATACCTGGACAATAAAAGATCACACCTGAACTTACTATAAACTGTATGAAATTGCTAGTTTACTGACTCGATCTCAGGATCTCCAGCAGTAAGTATAACAAGCACTGTAGAGCTAATGTTCCTTTGTGCAAGCAGGGTGGTAGGTTAAATGCAAAGCAGGACATTCTGCATTACGTACTCTCTGCCAACAACCACTACCTGTTTGAAATAAAGGAAGCAGCAGCTTGTTGCAGAGCTGTGTGCACTTTGATGGTTCCTGCATTAAAAGGCAATATAACTCAGAAGATACTACCTATGACAATACCTTTGAGTGCATCAAGGAGTTGAAGTCAGTAGTGGTAGCACTAAAAACAAAGAAAGGAAAATAATACTTTAAAAATGCCTGTTCACCCAGCTCCCTTAAAAGGCACACATCATGGGTAGGAGGGACAACACCTGCTGCAGAACCAGCATCTACAGAAATGGTGAAGAACTCTATTTATTAGTACCTCTTATGTGGTGTCTTGGCCAGACTTGTCATTATGTTTCACAGCTCTATCTCTAGCTGCATAGTAATGGGGCTCCACCTCCACGCAAGAAAAAAAATACATATTCTAGGGAGTATATACCCCAATCCAGGAAAAGACTCCTTCACAGTAGAGTGAATCCGAGCAATACAGTGCTACTGCTGACTTGTTCTACTCAAATTCTTCCTCTGCCAACCTCTCCAATGCTTTCTGAGCGCCTACCTGTATCACATTAAAGCCTTCATAAAAATCTTTCCTGTGTAGCCTGTGGACTATGCAAACAATCCACTGAACTTTGACACTGAAACCAAATTTAATTCCAGATGTACTACTTTTCTTCTCCCACCAAATTTCAAGCTCTTTTTCAAGAAATACTTTTTAGTAGTAGTTCTGTCATGAAACATCCCACACACACTCTTCGGTAGGGCTTAATGGCACAATGCCAAACAGAAAACTTGATTCTGTACCTCACGAAAAATATGCCTGGGATGAAAACAGATAGCAGAGGGAATATTGGAGAACCCATTAGTTTCCAGACTAATGACAAAACTATTCAGAACTTGAAAGTTAACTGAAAGTCATCGATATGTGGGGTTTGAATGATAGTGTCCGTTTTATAGTAAGTATTTAAAGGTGTAGCAAGAACTTGTTTCTCTTTTATTTTAAATGCCTGTCAACAATACAGAAGGAGCTCAAGAAGGGACTGTGCAATTTATTCTCACACCTTGTAAGAAAATGATCTTCAGGATTTAGCCTCTAACATAATTTTAAGATGATAACTTTGAATATTCCCTCAAGTATCTTGAACTGCTGGTTAACTTGATAATCTGACAAAAATTAGTAATTTTCTTAATTTGCCCTTTTAACCTTACTAGATCTTACCCAAAATAGAGACCTGGTTGAAACTGTTAGTATCTCAAACTTCCAAAGAACTTTGTTTATATTGAAAGAAATATTTTACAGGGTTTTGGTGGAGAAGAGGGATAAGTTTTGTTAGTTCCTCCTCCCCCTGCTCCCCTACTCTCATCTTTCTCTTGAATGCAGACAGTCGAGACTTTCCTCAGGAATTCTCTGTAAGTGTTTTCCCACCAAATACGTCCTGTGCGTACTCCATACTGTGCTTGGGTCCTCCCCATCACTATTCCTTCAGGGGAGCAGAAATAAGAATCTGTGGACAGCATTCTTTTATACAGCACAAAACACAGACTTCAAAAAAAAGATGGTTTAAACCCTGAAAAATATTTTCCTTCTCTCTAAAATGGCCATAGAGTTAAAAAACCCAAATGAATACTGGGAAGTTTTAGTTAAATCCAAAGCATTACATTAATCCCATTTCTCATACAGGCCTTCCTTTTCAGTCACATGTGAAACATTCACTTGTAAGCTTCTGCTTGCCCTTCCTGGCTCTACTCCTGCGTTCATCTCTTTTCAACATGCATAGGGCTCAAATCTCCAGTCGTGATGTACAGGGTTCATTCTTACTCTTCATTGATGAAGATAAGCTCCAGTGAAGGTCGGCCGTGCTTTTCGCTGAGATCTACAATGAACAAAGAGAAATAACTGAGCTGAGACCCTGGGCCATACCACTGAACCTGGAAAAGCTACAGCAAACAAAAGCTTGTCCAAGCGATCTCAGGTACTCTACGACCATTATGCACCATTTTATTGTGTCATATCGTCCTGATCATGTGCCTCTGGCAATTAAAATAGTATCATATCTACATATAATAGACAAGGTTAGATGAAAACAATTCCAGCCTGGAATATATGAATTGAAAGAAAAGAGAGGTTCCTTTTATCCCATATTCTTTCTTTCTGGGAAGGAACGAACAAAATGAACCTTGGAGCTCTTATCACGTTTTTCTGTGACACCTGCTCTAACCTAGGCAGCCTGCAAGAAGAGGGGTAAATTGGCAAGTGTTAGATTGTCACAGAGCATGCCTTTGGATCTGTTCTACATTTCTTTGACTTTCTTTTCAGAGATTTCCTTCCAACCCTGTAAAATCCTAAGACATTATGACAGACAAACTCCAGTACATGCCCTAATTCATTACAAATAGTTTCCTGGCTCCAATTCTTCCATCACATCTTGAAACTTTCTTTAATTTTTTAAAGAAGTGTCAGAGTACAAAAGAAACAGTGTGGACCAGCATCTTTGGCAGTGCAAGTCAGACAGCTCTGACCTTGACAGAATTTGGATAATGCGTATCAACAAGTCTGGTCACTGATAAACAAGCGAGAAAAGAATGGCCAATATTGACAAATACCTATTGGCTTGTTTTCTTCAGTAATGGTGCTGCCTGCAGTACTGATGACCTCGTGCTCCTCCTCAGCATTCACTAGCTCCTGGAGAACTGCCTCCACAATTGGCATCACCATGGCTGTGGTGGATGTGTTGGAAAGCCACATGGAGAGCACTGTGGTGCAACACATGAAGCAAAGAAGCAACCTGGAGTGCAACACAGGGAAATCTTTTTGAGGCACTTTCAGAAATATTAAAGGCCTCCTTGCCTAACATTTTCATTAATTAACTGATAACTAAATGGGGTCTTTTTGCAGGTGCCAAAATATTATGCTGTGTGCAGATAAAATGCTGCCTTGTGCTGATAACTGTTGTAAGACAATGTACCATTGGAAGACTTTTGCCACATGGAAATCATGATGGGATGTGAGAAACAGCGGTTTTCAACATATCCAGGATTTAAGCATCCTTTTGTGCTTGTTTAACAACAGGCAGAGAAGGAACAGAGAGACTAAAACCAGTAACAGTAAAACATATAAATCAAAGGGACAACAAGCCAAGGAGTAGGAGCTGGCAGAAAGAGGATGAAAAAAATTGGAAGCTTTCCAACTCTGAAAGGCAAGATGGGTATGAAAAATAGCCCCAGGCCAAGCTAGCTTTTGCCCATGGATGGGAAATTCAGACTTGTTTTTTGATCTTTCAAGCTGCTGCTATCATGCTCATGCTATCCTGAAGTCAAAGATTCACTCACATGCCTGGCTTTGCTCCAGCCATCATGACCATGCGCAGGGCAACTCTCTTGTGAAGATTCCACTTTTCTACAGAAGCTGCCACACAAATCACGCCCATGAGGAGCAAAGTTGTGTTTTTGAAATATTCAGCAGCCACCTGCATTAAGGGTAAAGGGGAAACAGTTAAAAAGCAATAATTACCCTACACAGAGAGCATGCTGAATGAGAAGAAATATGGTATTGGGGTATTTCCCTCTAGAGAAAAAATGACAGGGAGCTGGAAAAAAATTAAGAAGTCGTACATCAGAATGTTCTCTTTAATATTTTATGTCATGCTTACAAAAAACAAGGCTCAATACCCACTTGTTGATAGGTTTCTCAGCTTTGAAGAAATCAAGAGAAATTTTACTTCTTTGAGCAGGATGTTCACTGCCTGCAGACAATCAGTCACAGTATCACAGTATGCTAGAGATTGGAAGGTACCTCGAAAAATCATCTAGTCCAATCCCCCTGCCGGAGCAGGAACACCTAGATAATGTTACACAGGAATGTGTCCAGGCGAGTTTTGAATGTCTCCAGGGAAGGAGACTCCACAACCTCCCTGGGCAGCCTGTTCCAGTGTTCCGTCACCCTCACTGAGAAGAAGTTTCTTCTCAAGTTTAAGTGGAACCTCTTGTGTTCCAGTTTGTACCCATTACCCCTTGTCCTATCATTGTTTGCCACTGAGTAGAGCCTGGCTCCATCCTCGTGACACTCCCCCTTTATATATTTATAGACACTGATAAGGTCACCCCTCAGTCTCCTCTTCTCCAAACTATAGAGACCCAACTCCCTCAGTCTTTCCTCATAAGGGAGATGCTCCACTCCCTTAATCATCTTTGTTGCCCTTCGCTGGACTCTCTCCAGCAGCTCCCTGTCCTTCTTGAACTGAGGGGCCCAGAACTGGACACAATATTCCAGATGGGGTCTCACCAGGGCAGAGTAGAGGGGAAGGAGGACCTCCCTCGACCTACTAACCACCCCCCTTCTAATACACCCCAGGATGCCATTGGCCTTCTTAGCCACAAGGGTACAGTGTCGGCTCATGGTCATCCTGTCGTCCACTAGGACCCCCAGGTCCCTCTCCCCTACACTGCTCTCTAACAGGTCGTTCCCCAACCTATACTGGAACCTGGGGTTGTTCCTGCCCAGATGCAGGACTCTACACTTTCCCTTGTTATATTTCATCAAGTTACTCCCTGCCCAACTCTCCAGCCTGTCCAGGTCTCGCTGGATGGCAGCACAGCCTTCTGGCGTGTCAGCCACTCCTCCCAGCTTAGTGTCATCAGCAAACTTGCTGATAGTACACTCAATTCCCTCATCTAAATCGTTGATGAATATATTAAATAATACTGGTCCCAGTACTGACCCTTGTGGCACTCCACTAGTTACAGGCCTCCAACTAGACTCAGCCCCATAGACTACAACTCTCTGGCTTCTCTCCTTCAGCCAGTTCACAGTCCACCTCACTACCTGATCATCCAGACCACGCTTCCTCAATTTAGCTGTGAGGATGCTGTGGGAGACTGTGTCAAATGCTTTGCTGAAGTCCAGGTAGACCACATCCACCGCTCTGCCATCATCCATCCACCGTGTTATTTCCTCATAAAAGGCTAAGAGATTGGTCAAGCATGATTTCCCCTTGGTGAAGCCATGTTGACTGCCCCTCATAACCCTCTTATCCTTGATATGCCTTAAGATGGCACCAAGGATAAGGTGTTCCATCACTTTCCCAGGGATGGAGGTGAGGCTGACCGGTCTATAGTTACCCGCGTCCTCCTTCTTGCCCTTTTTGAAGACCGGAGTGACATTTGCTTTCCTCCAGTCCTCAGGCACCTCTCCCGTTTCCCAAGACTTGGTAAAGATGATGGAGAGTGGTCTAGCAATGACTTCCGCCAGGTCCCTCAGCACCCGCGGGTGCATTCCATCTGGACCCATGGATTTATGGATGTCCAGATTGCTCAACTGGTCTCTAACCCATTCCTCATTGACTAAGGCAAACCGCTCCGTCGACCTGACTTCATCTAAGGGCTTAGGGGTACAGGGCTCTTCAGGACTGCCTGCAGCAGAGTAGACAGCGACAAAGAAGGCATTCAGTAACTCTGCCATCTCTGTATCTTCTGTCACCAGGGCACCCATCCCGTTCATCAGTGGGTTTCTTTGGCATTACAAAACAGCATATGGAAATACTGCAGCATAGTCAGAGTTGATTATGTTAAAATATGGAGGATTTTTAATGTTCTTAAAGCAAATAATACATTCTCTGCAGTAGTCTTCCTGTCATATAATTTGATATTATATTGAATTTCTGTCAGGCTGCCTTTAAATTTTCCTTCTCCAATACGCTGTAGATTCTTGTAATGAAAACATATTACTTTACCTTTATGTTAAAAAAAAAATAAATCCTGAAAATATTTAACTGTGTTGGTACGGAAATGTATTTGATTATATTACACAGTTGTCACACCACTGGGAGGAATAAGACAGGTCATAAAACTCTTGGTTCATGCTTGACCCATTTATGGGTATTCCCAGAGCTAGACTGTGTTAGAAATTCAACAATTTTATGGTTGCTATATATTCTTCTGTGTTCTTATCCATATTTCTAGTCTTTGTAAATCAAGTGTGATACCTCCTCACCCTCAAAAAGAGAGAGAAAAATGTAGAGGGGGAAAGCTGTAGGTGCAGTAAAATAATTTTTTGGCATATCGTGAAAGAAAGTAACATTCAAAAAATAACTCAAGTAAGCAAATCCAAAACTGATCATGGAGACTTTTGTATGGCTACTCTGCCTTAGAACTTACAGCTACAAGACAGCACTAAGGTTACAGTTTGGAAAAATGACTAGACATTCACCTGGATAACAAAATTACCTAGTGTTAGCAGGTAAATGGTAACTGTGTTTAGCACATGTAATCTCTTGCCTTATACATAATAAATAACTGCTCTTTACATGGTTTTGGAGAAGTGGAAAGGTGTGATCCTTTGATGCAATAGGTTTTAGGAATTGTTTGTGATGCAGTAGCTGACAGGATGGACATGCCGCTTGACTGATATACCCTTTCCTATATCTATCTTCATTAGAAGAAAGAGCTGGTCAGCCCAAGTTACACATTATAAGATGCACCTTTTTTCCTCCTACAGCTCTTAGTCTTGTTAGTCTATTAAGATTAGTTTTATTCAAATAATTAAGTGTGAGTAAGTATATTAAATTATAAAAAAGTGCACACTGGTCTGACCTCACTGGACTTCATGACTCCAAAAAGTGGGTATAGGAAAGCAGGAACTAAGGCTGCTGCACCAAGAGGTACCGCTTCAGAAACCCAGTATACAGCTGTCACGATCAGCACATAGGCACATGAAGCTTCCTGCAGGAAGAAAGCACAGAGATTACATGACTGCCTCACGACCTGCTGTGGAAACCTTGTGGACGTGTTCATAAGACTTATTAGACTGCAGGTGCCTGGACATAAACTGAACAAGTACTGCATAAGAACCTTCTAAGGTGCAGCTATTTGGGTGTGAAATCTAGGCTACCATCTGAAAGGCCAGTTCCAGAAGATGATGCTAATGAGAGGTTTCATGCAATAGCTAAGGCAAAACATTGTGAAAAACATATTTATCAGCAGAATAATGGTTCCATGTGCATTTACAGATTTGTTTGATTGCAATAGTCCAATACTTACCAAGTGTTCAGCTCCTCAGTTTGGTCCTGTGGAGCTGATATTTCTCTCCAATACTGGACAAGAACAGGAACTTGTAGTTTTCAGAATCAGATGAGAACATCTGTATTTGCTATAGCATGGATAAAGCTACAGTTTGTTTTTTTTTTTGGAAATGCTCTGAAAATTTTTATTTTTTTTTTTAACAGTGTGCAAACTTAAGTTTTTCGTCAGTTGATTTTATTTTCTCAAATAATTTCCACAGACCCATGGAAGAAGACCACAGACCTGAAGGGTTTAGAGGCAGTGGATCAACAGAGTTAATCAAACAAATTTGCTGCTGTCAAAGGTTCTGGTAGAGAAAGCCATGACAACATCACGCTGGATGTTCATGGAGAGCTGGTATATGACAGAGAAAGGTTCTATCTGCTGAACATTTTAACAGGAAAACACAGCTACTCCACAGAAGTCTTCTAGTCCATTTTTTTTTGTTAATAAGTCTGCCTTTATGGCATACAGTGGAGTTCTTAGGCTCAATTTGTTATATTTAGAAACCTGGGGACATTTCCTGCTAATAATTACAAAAATTACTAGGGCTAACTGGCAGTTCTGTGGAATTAGGTCAGCACTGATTTACACCAGTGCTGACAAAATCTAAACATTCTTCATTATTCACTGAATAGGAACTTATTGAGCTGTATGGTTCCACTGTTCACAAGTGCTACTTGAATGGGTTAAAACACCATTTCATTACTTTTGTTTCCTGACTGGATGACTCCCAAATTAAGCAGCTTTCAAGAAGTCACACAAGCAATTCCCACAGAATCTTGTGCAAATCAGTGAGTGTGTATTACACTTTTTTTTTCCCCCATCAGTCTTATGAACAATGTAGTGAAGTTTGAAGCAAGACTATACATGGATGTGGGTTCAGTGGAATGAATCAATAGCTTGTATTTGCATGTCCCTTTTTACATCACCCCTAACCAAGAGTCACAGTCAGTTACTCCTCTTTTTTTAGTACTGCTTATAGTAACAAGAGGCAGAACACAGTCCAGACAAAAAGTTAAGATAGATTGCTACGTGCCATTTCCTTTACTTGCTTAAAGATTGCAGCCAAACTTATCCAGAAGCTGACAGACCTTCTTTTCTGACTCCTATTTCAGAAAAGTTAACATTAAACAGCTCTAATACAAGCAGGCAGGACCATCAAAATAGCTGAAATAAGGTTATCAGGAAACATAATTTCCTTGAATCAGATAACCTCCAATTAATTTAGAGACTAGAAAGAGTATCTGAAAAGCTATTGAAGAAACTTAACTCTGGCTTCTTCCTTTATGAATGGATAAGAACTCTGAACCACATGGAAATGTGCATATCTGTTTCTCTTACTTAACTATTATAGAAGAGTAGTTTAGGTTTTAACACTCCAGTAGAGGTTTCACTAGCCCTCTATGATCAGGTCCTTCAGGAAAATATTGAAATTAAAAATTGAATAGCAGTTGTAGCTTCATTACTACCAAGAAAAAATATAAAAGAGCTTAGAGAACGTTGATTTAGAATGGATGAGATTAGAGGGTTTTTTTTTAATGTCCATGGATTTTGAAGCATGCATTTTACAAAACGGAATTGCTATGCCTTTTGAAATTCCAAAGATTGGTGTTCAGTTTGTAACAACTTTGAGTGATCACTCTTTACAAACAAAGATTACTTAAAAATTTAAATAATTTAAAAGGTGACATGACAGGCATTAGAGGTTTGTAGTAACTTCTGCTAGGAAGACTGAACTATTTTAGATGAGAGACACAGAGCTGATGGATTGGCTTGTAAACATTAGCCAACTTGCTGCTCAGTCACCTTTAACCAAAACTTTAACATACTTCATGGTTAATATTCCACAAAAAGCAGAGCATAGGGTCATTTTTGGGACTTAGTAACTATTTGACACATTTTGACTATTTTTTAGCTCATTAATTTCTGCTAACAAGTTACTATGTTTGCATGGGCTCTGTATGACATCTAGCAGTTGTCATACATCCAGAGGAAAAAAATGCTTCTTAATGAAAAAAACATTGATTTTTATTTTAAAGCAGTCCAGATGATACCTTGAGATACCTTGCAAAAATTTATAAAATTAATTTCATCCTAACTACATTCCAAGCTATTTTCTTACTCCAAAAATAGACTTCCCTTTAATTTCTTTGAGCATAGCTTGTTATCTTCTATTGCCCCTCTGTGTGTAGCCATAAATTAGACTTGTAATGGGAATGGAATAGGAGAAAGGGAGGTTGGATCTCTATCAAAACCTAGCTCGGATGGGCATCGAGTCTTTTTGTTTCCTATACACTAGGCTGTAATCAATTTACAAACAAAACTAAAATAACACATATTTTAAAATGGTATAAAACTGAGTAGGAAGTACTAGGAAAACCAAGTTTTATAATCTCCACTAAAAACTTAATCAGCTTATCTAACAATTTTCTCTGTTTTCTCAGTGCTTTAAAACAACTCGTTTCCAAGAAAACCATATTAATCTCTTCTATTTAATTGAACTGGATTTATATATTTAATTAATGGTTACCAGAGCTACTAAGTACTGGAATGATGTAGTGGCTGTATAATTTTAACTGTTTCACTGTTTTCACTTCCTGTTGTACAGTTGAAAATTACTGTTAAGATCCTCTCAGGGCTTGAAGCGAAGAATAGGAAAACGTGATGGTTGAAGGGACTATCACTTATCTTCAATTAGCCCCTTACATGGAAGGAGAGGAGCTGAAAGGAAGGCATGGCTAAAAAAAAAATCACAATAAGGGTCATGCGTAAAACTGTTAGAACTAAAGCATCTGAGATCTGAAGATCTCAGAGCGGTTAAAATAAGAACAAACTCTGTTGGTCAGATCTTGGAGATTTGACCACTTAATGATGTGCATTGCATATCTAGCATGCAGGCGTGTGGTTAAGCTGTGTGAAGAAGAGGTAGTCTAGCCTCTGGACTACCTTCTCTGAGCTTATGGGATCACACTATCAATCTCTTCTTTCAGCTTGTGTAAGTAAAAACAAAGGTGAATGAACATACATCATCTGTTCCCTTTGGAAAGGGAAAAAATTCAAGCAAATTTTCTCGGGTTTATTTTTGACCCAACCATTCTTTTTCATAAGACAACAGAAAAGAAGCTGTGGACAGTATTCCCATTAGCCGTATCTGCAAACAGTTCTGAATTCTAGTGCTCGCTATGATTTCTCTTGCCACTACACATGTAATGTTCCTTTGATGTTTCCAGAGTTGTGCTGATCAAAGAAACTGCAAGCTGATTCCCTGCAGAAATGGAAATATAAACCACCTGGTAATTCTGACTTCTAGAAGAAAGACAGAAAACTAATAGAATTGTATGATGAATTAAAACATAAGTAAGTGAGCAGGAGGCAAATTTAATCTTCAGGTTTAAGAAGTAATCATAATCAATGGGTTGTAATAAAGTAAACACCACACTAAGCCACTTAAATAGTGTATTGTCAACTGAGTTCATTTGGTGTTGATGTTTTCTTAATAGTATTATAAACATTTATTTAACCCTGGGTCAGATTTAAAGCTATAATTTACCATCTGTGATCATTCAGATATATATAAAATGAATGTAAAACATCATCTGATGTCTTTTCATCTCACTTCTCAGTAAAGCAACACCATGAGGAGCTTGTAATGTATAGTAGCAATTCTTGCAGCAGTAGTGTCAGTTAACTTCTCTCTCAGCACTCATATGATGCTATTACAATTCCCTTGGTTATTAAAAAGTCTCCTTGTTGCATAGTGTGTCTCTGTGTCCATCAGGGAGCAAACAAAAGTGACAAATATTAATGCAGTGAATCTCATGTTTCCTAGAAGAGGTTCTCAAGGGACAAAAAACCTACTGCAGTTATAGTGTCATTTGGACATGTCAGGAGTATCTGTTCTTATGTTGCCCTTCCAGTGACATTGGGGGAGATTAAACTCATTTTAAAAACAAGCCTCTATAAAATGTTGAGCCCTGCTGTTCTCTGAAGAAGAGCATGATTATCTGTCATTCATTCTGTCTTGAGAGGTAAGAGATGGAAAACTGCTATAAGAGGACAGCTGAGATATAAATCGAAGTTCAGGGCAGGAAAACCAATTCAAAGTGCAACATACAGTTCAGCAGTATAGAAACATTTCCTTTCCATGAATCCTGTTTTCCTTTCAATACAAAATACTACAGTTTTATTTTTTTAAAGCTGCTATACAATTTCTAGCCTTTTGCCTTTCTATTTGATAAAGCAGAAGTATTCACAAATCCTCTGGTACTGGAAGGAAGAATTAATCTTTAGCAGAGTAGAGGACAGAATTGGAATTGCTGCACCATTTGGCCAGATTTATGTCTAGGGTTATATGGAAGCACCAGCTGCAAAATTTTTAATACACTGCACTTTTGATAAGTTAAACATCACCATCTCTATAAGGCAGGAAAACATTCTTATTTTATGGCTTATGACTTCAGAGATGTGCATAGAGAGGAGTTAACCACATGGCCAAGGGCACTCAGTAGCTTCAAAATTGTACCCGGAATGTAGCTGCATTTACTCCTGTTCCCTTGTCTGTGTGTTAAGCACAAACTGTTCCCTCCTTTGTATTGCTGTGTATGCCTATGAGACATCATTTATTAGCTACTGCCAGGTCTACAATGTTTCAGTAGAGGTACCTACACGTGCTTTAGAATAGTTAGTGCCATGTATGGTCCTACATGTCTGTCAGTCCTAGCTCCTGCCTCACTTGAGTTGCTGCCCTATAAACCCACGCTAAATTGAAAGTCCCTCCATGCATACTTATTACTAAAAACTAAATGCATGGGAAGTGTTCCTTTTAAAGACCTCTCCTTAAAGGAAATTTTATGGATATGTTTGTTCTGTTCCCCTTCCACACACACATTATTGCAGAAAAAGAAAAGATACAATATTTCTCCTTTACAGTAGTGGTTTACTAGCTTCACCTGGTTTTTCAGCTCTGCTTGTGACATGACTAAAGGCAGCTCTGGTTTTTACTATGACAACTTCTCAGTGACCTTCCCAATCCTTTAAAGTTAAGTCCTTGATTTTTCTAAGAGCAACGCTTGTTTAGGTCTTTGCTTTTCTTTTTCACACTGCAGATTTATCCAGCATGACTACCTACTGCACTCAGAGGTTTAGTTAAAAAAGAAAATGAAAATGTACTCACGCTACTGGGGTGTAAGAGTGGCAGAGGAAGCAGCAGAAGTGGAATGAGAACAACAAGCAAGAGATTTCTGGATCGGAGAATCTCCTTCATCATTGCCATATTCTTTTACTGTCTGGTGGCTTTCTTGTCCTTGGGTTTCTTCTCTGATTCCTCAGATACTCCAACTTCCACTCCACGTTTTCCTTCACCTGTGCCTGGATTACCCTGAATGGTGTCTCACTGCCTCATTTCCTATCCCCACCCAATCACCTAAAATATTTTTCTTAAACTTGTTGTTTTGAAAAGATTTTTCAATTAAAAAGACATTCAGTTTATGTAGGGCTCACCAGCAGATCCAAATTATTTTCACACCATAACATGCAGAGGCTTGCAAGTTGGAGCATAGTGATCTTCTGACAATTTTTCTTTTTAATTCAAAATGAAGGGTATAGCTGTGTTGAATCCTTATCCCCATGTTTTGGAAAGTTTTTTTCTTCCATCATCTAGCAGTGTAATTCCTGTTTTCATAAACCAGGGAAGATATGTTTTGGGCTGCTTTTCCTCCTGTTTGGTAGTCTGAATGTCTGAAATAACAGGTTTCTCTTCTTCTAGAAAATTAACAAAACCTACAATTTATTGCACAGACCCAAATATACAAGTATTCTTTCTTAAAAATAAAAAAATAAAAATTAAACCATCTGCAACTTCTCCAGGTTTTGTCTCTTTGCTATAGTTTTGGCTTCTACTTTGCATCTACCTTTACCCTACTTTTGCCTTGAGCTTAGAATTCACAGCGTAGCAATTCCAATACAGATTATACTTGGTCGCAAGACAAAAACTTGTTAAAAAGCTTCATTCATCTCTAACTCACCAATGAGGACTGTAGAAGGTAGTAGTTGCTCCACCCATTATCCAAACGCCAGTAAGAGCTTTTGAGAAAATCAGCAGCCTCCTCTTTCTGACATGCACACAAACGTACAAAAAGACCTTTTCTAAGATGCTGAACAGTTTGTTATTGTTTCAAGATGCCAGTACTGATGAGAAATAAATAATCATTGTTTTCTAAACAGTATCTTTTGTCTTTCATGTTTCTTTCATCCTGATCCATGAACGTCACTTATTCATAAGGCATGGGCTAATCTCTGTACTGATTCATGTGCCCTCAGTAACCATAGGATTCAGATTCAAATTGAGGATTTTTAGGCTTTTTACTCTAGTCTTCTAGTGGAGAAGCATTTCTACAACTCTGCCATTATTAATGCTTTTTGTGGGGCAGAAAGTACTGAATCCATTGGCTGGTTGAATGCAGGACCTGTAGAGAAGTATCCATTTGTCCTGTATCTCATAGAAAGCCACGCAGCTGAGATTTTCCACACTCTCAAACCTTGCTTGCCTGTCTACTACTCACACTTCGCTAGTCAGACACAAACTGAGCTCCCCAGATTGAACTGAAATGACTCTGTGACAGAGACTTGGAGAGCTGGCAGACAGACCTGCAGAGGAGTTTGATGTGCAGGGTACATTCTTCCTGGAATTAGTAATTACATCTAAGATTGTGTAATGTTTCTAAACCTTGAAACTTCTGTCAAGCAACAGAAACTTTAGACATTTGACGCAAAATTAGCAATTAGTTCTGGAAATAAATATATAGTTAATGTGAAAATTTGGAGTTGACCAATACCAGATAGGGAATTCATATCTGTTTGTCAGTTGTTTTAAAGAAACTAAAAAATTGTCTAAAATACTAAAAAAAAAAAAAAAAAAAAAAAAAAAAAAATTTTTTTTTAAAAATCTGTGCTTTGTTTCACTTTTTTATGATCTGTAAGGTCAAAGGGTGGATAAAAGGTTCCACCTAGAGGCAATGGCTATTTACCCTCTGAGCGACTATCTACATACATGACTCCGTCTGAAGTGATGAGATGCAATCTGAGTTGTGGAGCAGGCAACTTATGCTTGCATCTTGAGCAATTCTGAGGGAGGGAAGCTGACCTAAGTCCGAAAAGCTTCCCTGAGACAGACTTCTCCTTCCCACTTGAACTCTGGAAAACAAAGCGTACTAATTCCTATTTATTACCTCCTCCTGCCCATCAAAGGGAAGAGTGTTCCTTCTTCTCTCATACCATTACTCCCATGAAGAGTTTCAGTCTGAGATAGCCAATTGCACAAGCTGGAAGTTACCAAACAGTAAACCTGACACTGGAATCAATACAATGCAAAGCCAATTAGTTTTATGTAGAATATTTTTATTATTACATTGATAGTCTCTGTTAAATTAACTTGGGCACTCCTAGCACATACCCAAGGAATAAATCTTTTTTACATTACACACAGTAATGGCAAGAGGGACACAAACTCAGAAAAACTTTATTTTCTATTGAGGAGATAAAAATTTCAATTACCAGTTTGAAAGGTATGTATGCTATAGGGAATATTTGGATATTCAAAATTATCTATAATTCTTTTCTATGAGATACTTGCTGATGAGTAAATTCTGACCACTTGACAGTCTTCCTATGCAGTGGGAAGCATGGTGGGATGTATTTCTCTGGATAGTAACTGCTAGCATGCTTGCTGTGGTGCTCACTCTTGTTACCTTTGCAGACTTGGAACCACTGGCTGTAAGAGATTTATGAATCTCTCTGGTTCCAGGCACTTCCAGCGCGCGATGCTTCAGGGAGCCAAGAAACAGAGCTGGAAAGGCAGGAGTGCACTTTAAAGCATTTCCCCTCCATGTGTTTATAAAGCATGGTATGGGAAGAAAACACAAACACATGATCAGTGTTAATTCTCAAGGCTTAAAAAGCATGTGGGCTGTAGCGCAAGGCTGCTTTGTGGGCCCTGAGCTGTGTGCGCAAGCAGAGGAGATGGGGATGCTTGTGGCTCATAGCTTTGTGGTTGAGGTTTTCAGTTTTCTTTGCCATATACCAGCCAGGCTTTGAAGATGGCCAACAAACATCTTCAGGTATGAAAGTGCACCTACACATAAGTGCATCTAAATGCAAATCTGTACAGTCATGCATACACATACAGAAACTGCTCGGAGAAACAGGACTGACTGTCTTTTATAAGCCCTTTGTCCAGCTGCCCGTCCCTAAGGCTGCTGTGGATCCGCATTCCCTTGGGTAATTGCCAAACCCAGTGTGCTCTGGCTGATGTTTGCTGCAACAAGGTGGTGTTGGATGGAGTTTTTCAGCTTCGGTCCTTGGAGTATCCCTGTTAAGGGACTCAGAAGGGTTCATTCCTTTCGGTCTGGTGATGCAAAAGCAGTTAAATGTGATTCAGAACAGGGGCTGGAATCCTGAGTTCGTTTCTACAGCTGCAGTGATTTGTGATTTTATGCTTAAAATATTATGCAGATAGAGAAATAGGGAGTGCTGGTATGAAAGGATGAAATAAATGTTCATCTGTTTTCCCATGCTCTGGAAGTAGAAGAACCTCTAATATCAATAGAGAAACAGTCTGTGTAATTTGATCATAAAATGTAGAGGATTTGCTTTAGAATAATTTGCATTTTTTGACGGCAGTCATCTGTCTGACAAGATTTACTTTCTTTTTCTGTCTATTTTCTGTCCATGATTTTTTATAGTTCATAATACTTAGTTGCACTATTTTTACAAACAGTTTTTGCTGCTGAAACAAGTACTGTTTCTCCACTGCTCTCAGACTCATAATTCCCACCACTGGACCGATGAATGTCTTTTCTGCTAAGTGACTGGATACGATTGCTCTGGGACTGAACAATTTAGGATTCTCCATGTACTCATCACTTACATGCACACCTATGCATCGACATACACACACATATACACACAAGTAAATATATAATTTACTACCAAAAATGAGCCACACTGCTAAATTCAGCACCATGTTTTAATGCACCTTCCTCCCTTGCCTCAGGAGGGTTCTGAAGCGTGGGTTTAGATGAGCTACGTTCAAGTGATAGAACCAGGAAAAATGTGTCATCATTAAATTAAACAGGGCCTTTGACTCTGCTGAGGACATGTTCCCTTCAAAAAACAAGCAGCAGAAGCAAAGTCATGTGCAAATAATGAAAGAATCATTGCAGACTGTTTGGGAGGGCTAGGAAGCAAAGAGCATGTTCACAGGCATTGTTTGCTGCTGGTATCCACAATGCCCTTTGTCTTCTGCAAATGTTATTGCAATTAAAAACTGGCTCAGCCAAATGAAGTGAATCAGACAGTGCTTATTTAGAAGAATATTTGGAATGAATAATATGTGGCATAATTTCTTAGACTGACAGTTATGAAACCTCTTCCTTTTTCAGAAGGCCTTTGCATGTCTTTATAATATTCTTTTTCTGGCCAGCCAAAATATGAATTTGTTTCCCTAGCTAAGAAATCAGCATTCTCCAGCTTGTATGCACAAGTATGTAAGCATAAGTATAGTATACTTCTGTACTGCTTATAGGAAACCCACAGGATGAAACAAGGGCATGTCTGTCTGGGGCATACACTGGAATTTCTTTGCCTGTCACAGAATGTGCCTCCCAAGCCAGCACAAAAATCAAATTCCCAGGACCGAAGGTAACATCATTCTCCATTTAACATGGGACTAGAAAGTGGATTCCACAAGGGGGAGCTAGAAAACAAATAATCTTTCTTGAAGCAGATTCTTAAACTCTTTACAGCATAAAGTGGTGGACGTGCTATATGTGTCCCTTATCAACCACAAGGGGTGGCTGAGTTACCGTTGCATCAAGTCTCCCACTATGATGTGTCTTTGTTGTATGGAAACATCAAGTCGTGCTTCAGGGCTTTGTAAAGACTGACGAAGGATTCAGCCCAAACGTCTTTCTGGTGCCCCTGGGACTGAGCAGCCCTGTAGGCTGTGTAGACCATGGTCAACACTGTCCTTTCAAAGTCTTCTTTCTTGAGGACCCTTGGGTAGGAGGACAGCATGCTACTCAGCCTGCGGATCTCTGTGATGCTCTTGGGGATAATCTCATTGCAGATGGTGTCAAATTTAGCAGCCTTCCTCAGTGAAGCAAGCTCCTCATCTTTGATGGAGATCCTCTGACTTTTGTCAATGTCAAGCTCAGCTAAGAGAAACTGGTATAAAATCAGAACACAGAAAGCTATTTATCTTCTCCAAGAGACTCTGCACAGTAAATGTGAATTAAAAACATGTCCATAGGTCTTTACTTTAGCTCAAATAGAGACAAAACTTTCATTGCACTGGCTGGAGGTGGTGCAGAAAGACTCTATGTAAATATTAAGACTTCTGTGTTACCTGCCTGGGAAAATTAGAGACAGGCTATGGGGAAAGGAGGGAGGAAAAGGAAAATCTAGGTAGTCTTCTGTTGTCCAAAACAGGCATTAGTTGCTGCTGGTGCTACATGGGTATTAGAGAGACAGCAGCAGAGCTGGGAAAGGCTGTTTACCCTGTCAGGAACAGCAGCAGCCCTCTGAGAGAGCACAGCAGTGGCTTCCCTGCCCATCTCCCCTGTCTGGACTCCAATCCCAGTTTCTCAAGGTGTGAGATAGATAGATTTGACCCATGTACCTTCTTCAGGTGGGCCACTGTTCCTTAGCTGACCATATGATACTGTAGACTGTGCATTATATCTGCAGTCTCCACTGCTGTGGAAGAGGGGACCTGAGTTATTTTGGAGTGAAACACTCATGCCCTTGGGATTACTTTGCAATGTACTCTTGGGACTAAGATTTAAACCAAAGAATTTTAATGCATTATGTTGTTAATACATAACTGTTCTGGAAGAAATTTGCTTTCAGTAGAAAGCCGTTTGCTTTGTTTTTCATTTTGCCTGTCAGTGAACTAGAACCCACTAGTCTGAGGTACTGTAGGCAACTGCTGCGTGCTTAAGTGCTGAAAAAGCTGAGGCTGTCATATATATGTCTATTTCTTCCCTTCTGGTGAGCTGTTACATAGTCAGCAATGGGTTTACTGCAGGAATGAGTAAAAGTGCCATGAAGACAGGTAATAGATTACCCCCGTGTGTACAATAACCCCAGTCTTGGTTAAGGTTTAAGGTACCATCTGCTCTAGTATACTGAACCTCATAAAGCAGGACCACATCATCCAGCGAGTTTTGTAGCACTGGGTTAAGGAAGGCAGCTGAGGACCTCTTGAATCGCTGAGCAGCTGGGAAAAGCATAGCTGGAAAATAATAATGGGAAAAGAGAGGTTCCATAGGGTGGCAAACACTGAAAAGAGGAAGTACTTTTCAACAGTAGATTCAACCAAAGAACTTCTTGTTGCAAAGACTTATTCTACACTGACTTCTCACTGTAAATAAAATGGGTGACATGGTCTGCTTTGACTCTAATCTACTAAGGATGGAGTTTAGCTGTTTGTCCTGTATCTGTACAGTCTAATACAGAGTGATTTATAATCCAAGCCCGGGACTCTGAGGTGCAGCCATGATGTAAGCAATAATAATGATAACTGCAATATCAGCATTGCCTGGAATACATATTCTTCTCCTGGCTCTGCAAGGGGAAATTAATAATGACCCTCAACAAAGCCTTCTTTCTTCAGGCCATTCTCCTACCATCACACTTCTAAGACCCTATATTTCTACTGGTTTCAGCTGCCTAAATGTTAGTCTCTCCTTAGTTGACAAAAACAACACCTTCAGAGTAGATCACCTTATCTGTCCTGGGCATATATGTCTGGAAAGAGTGACTCACCCTTTGGAGATGCCTATCTTTATTCATTGAGCCTGTTACCAGCTTAGACAAGATAGGTACATTCAATGAGGTGAATCCCATTTATTATGACTTTAATACTTCACAGTGTTATAGCTAGAAACAACAAACTCTGTTATGATCAGATACTTATTCACTACTGCAAAGTGTACTATAGACATTGTTTCATGGAAATGAGACAGAAAAAATATGTATAGCTCCTAAATTCAGCATCCCAGCGAGGTAGAGCACGTGTGGAATCAGTGACCTGTACAGTCCAGAGTATAGAAAACATCTAATTCTATATTACAGATCATGAATGTGCCAAGCAAAAAACCAGACATATTGAAAAGGACTTGGTCTCTGCAGTAACCTTTCTCCAGCACAATGCCTTTAACACCCAACTATCTTGTCTGGCACAGCTGAGGAGGTGCTGAGTTTGGGAAAGGTCACAAGCTGCCTGCAGGTTCTACTCTGCAAGAATGTTTTTCTGGCTGACCACTGGTAACTGGGCTATACCCATTTTCTGCTGCTACTCAATCTCTGATGTTCACCCCGCTTGCTCAGTTTTGCTGAGACACACTGGAGCTATTCCATCTTCTGCTCTTGGCAATTTGAGAATGATATTGAGTGCATGCGAATCACTTGAAACTTCAAACACTAATTGCTGAGTAATTAAAACTTTTATTACTGGGCAATTAAAGCTCTAATTGCTAAGCAGCTGGCAGAAATCCAGTCCATAATGATGACAATTCATTTTTATCTCTTTTAGATCCTCTTTCAGTGAAAAGAGCCTTTACATATGCAGATGGTTTACATCTCAGATATACTTTGAGTCATGGAAAAGGTGCCTGTGGCATCTTCCTTCAGTGCTCTCCTGCTTATTGTCACCACACCAATCACTTTTCGCTTTCAAGCCAGGTGCAGATTCCTACCATGGAGCTGAGCTGGGAGTCAGTCATCAGATTCAGCCCATCACCACTCAGCCAGAAAAACCCCAGTGAAGGACTCCCACAAAAATGAATACCATATTAGCAATTTAGTACTGACCCACTTGCGGAATCATAGAATCTCAGAAAGCAGCTGAGTTTTCCTACCCAGGTGTTCCCAGGATAATATGGATTAGGTTAAAAGATTCAAAGGGACAAGAGTGTGAGCTGCTATATTGTGAGAAAGGACTTTGTATGCATATCAGAAGCATGCCATCTTCTGCAGGGACCAGACTAGCACTGACTCCCTGATCTCATTATCTTATTCCCAAAACATATCAAACCTTGTTACAGTCCTTGGAGAATCTACTCAGAAACTCTTTCAGAGCTCATTTGTTTTTGTCACGACGATCTGATTTTCCTGATCTATGTTTTATTTCATTCCTTTCCTCTCTCTCTTTTTTCTTCACAGCAGTTAAATCCTTCCACCATCGTTCCCTACACAATCCTTTCCATAAATTTACAAGCTCCTCTGAGACTGTGCAAGTATTCAGAGTAAGCATTCTCTGATTTTCATTACACTTACTTAACACACATGTAAATTTAGCACAAAAGCTGAGACAGAGAAAGATTTGAAGCCAGTTTCTGCATTTAGGGATTGCAAATTCTACTTGAAGCTTCTCTGCTGGCTTTATTTCTTCCTGCAGTTACTTCCATATCTGACATGAGTTAGCGGTGCACTATCAAAGAACAGCAAAAGACTAATGCTATGACTTACCCTCTCTTTACTATTTTCTTCCCTAATGGAGTTCCATGTAAAGCTACCAAGCAGATCTTCCATAGGAAGATGCAGAGCAATGTGCATCACTTTATGTTGATGTTGCAGCTAATTCATTTCAATGACAGTAGCAGTGAATGTCTGAGCAGAGATCAGTATTAGCAAGAGAAAGCCCAACCCAGTGATCTCTGAAGTCAGTGAAGAGACTCCTAGTGATTTATTGGTTTTACTTCTCTTACAAATGTGTCAAGACATCTCAATGGGGATGTGGCTGCTTATGTCCTGAGGGCTGAACAGTCAGATAATAAGAAAGCTTATGATTGACAGAGATGAAGGAAGAAAAATAAGGGATTTTTATTATCCTTACTGAAAACATTTTCTATTGTGTATCTATGTATCCTTTCTTCAGAGGGGCCTTAGGAGAGCTCTCTGATCTGACTTCCCTTGTGCCCATTGAGGTCTCAGGGCTGGAGGTGGATGGGAATGGTGGTCTGGGCACAGACATGTGCTCCCAGCCTACCTGCCCAGCTCTGAACAGCCTTATCCTATGCCCTGGAGTACATCACTGTTTGTGCTTGAAGATAGCGAGCAGCAACAAGTCTACTCCTAAGGGTGGTTAAAACTGCCTGTCAAAATGTGGTGCAGGAGCCTCTGTTTTCTGCACTGCTCACTGCAGGAACCTATCCAGTCTCTCACAGCTCTGTTGACCCAAATCCACCTCTCCTTCAGGGCTACCCAGGTTTTTAAACAAAAGCTGCAGCTGTGTTTGCCAACTCATTGGCCTGCTTCTAACTATTTAGCTCATGACAGCTTAGAAATTTCTTTACAGTTTAAGCATACTGAGGCTGACAATAGTTTTATTTTAAAGATGCTTTCATCTGTCTTAAGAACAATGCCAGAATTTTCTGTACCTCATTAACCTCGTAATAAACATTAACAATGGTCTCAGGTTTTCCATGTAGTTTTACTGGTGATGTTACAGATGTTTAGTTTTGCTTTCCAGTTCACCATTTCCCAGCTGCTGCCTGTGATGTGTTTGCTCAATAAGTATAGAGCATAGTTGCAGGAGTGTTCAATTATTTGTGCACCATCAATGCCCCTTTTTTCTATGAAAAGGTATGAAGCCAAAAGCATGAATCAGGCCAATTGCTCCAAAGCACGTACAGCTCTCCAGGGCTCCATGAACACAGATTAACTGAGGTCACAACTCAGTAGGAATTATTTTTATTTACTTCAGAGGCATGGAAAAGGGCTATCTCATTGCTTCAGTGGGACCCTTTTTATGAAGGATGGAAGGAGCAGAGGAACAAGAAGGACTTGTGGGCCAAAAACTCCTGTCTCCCTGCAAGCAAAGCAAAGGGGAGTTGCCTGTTGATGTGGCGAAAGGCAGTGGCCCAGCTGGAGTGGTCCTATAAGCCAAATTCAGTCAGCAGGCTGCCAATTGTGTCCTGCTGTCTTAGATTACTAGGATCTGACTCAAAGTAACTCATGAAAATCATTTCTATGGGTATCATGGACTTCCTGGGACCAGCCCCTATTTCTGGGAGTGCAAAGCAGGACACAGTTGCACAAACAGCAGCAGTTCCTGTACAGTGATAGACCTAAAAAGGAAAAGTGATGCCTCCTTTATGTCTTCACCAGCAGTTGTAACAGGGATTAGCAGCGCTCTGCAAGACCATATCCTCTCAGACCACCACAACTGTCTTTTTACTGCAAGCTCAAAAGAACCCTTTACTAGTGAGAAACAGCTACAAGCTCAGCAGTACATCCAGCTTGATCCCTCACAGCAAAAGATTCCCTTTCCTGCTCAAAGCTTTTGAAGTCCAGATTCCTAGACCTCAACAGGAAGAAGTTAATGCATCCCAAATTATAATGACAGCAAATTCTCCCTATTTGGCTTTATCTTATTGGTAAAGCAGGGAATAAAAGTGTTTACTGCAAAACAGTTGTTCAGCACTGGAGTGCATTGATGTGTGGAAACAAACATGCATACTGCCCCCTAAATGAAAGGAAAATGCAAAACTTTCTAGGTTATTGTTCATGAAGGCATGGTAAAGTATGTAAAACATATTTATACACATTTATTGGCTACTGCTGTTTTGTTCTGCCCCACAACAAGCCCAGAGAAACAAAGCATTTGAATTATGCTCCACTGGTGTGAGTTTTTCCCTAGCCTAAACATCACATAGCTAGGAAAATTAATAAAATATAAAGTATGGCCATGCTGAGATTTTTTTTCATGTGAGCTTCTGCAAGAGCCAAAAAAGACATCTCCTGGGCTAGATGCATATCCCTTTTTAAGCTTGCTGTTAGTCAGTTTGGAGCATTGCTGGTTCCACTAGTGAGCTGTAAATTTTCCGTGTGTCACCACATTTTTCTCTAACCTGCCTGGAACTTGCACTAAAAGGGTCTTAGCACACCCAGAGTCTCCTGTCGAAAGATTATATTTGTTGATAACCTAATTAGAGATTTTCTCACTAGCCTTGACTTCTTTGAAAGATGAAGATGATTCTTCAAGATGAATTCAAGCATTTCCCAGAGCACATGAAATGAGCACTGTCCACAGGGTGATTGTGTAGGCAGAAACAGCAGCCATTAAAATGCCATGCAAAAATTATGAGTGATCTAGGCTGGTTGAACCTATTCTGTTGCAGCAACTGCTGGGCAGTTCCTAGAAGTCATTGTTGCTTTGTGCCTGCAGAAGGTATTGGCACCAGAAGCAATGGTGAAACTTCAGGGTGAAGTGGTGTTGACCTATGGGAG